CTCCCCCCAGTCCTCCCCCCCCCTTTTTGGGCCTTTTCCTGGGTCCTCCCCCTTTGGGTCCCTCCTTTTTCCCTGGGCCCCTCCCCCCCCCTGGGTTCTCCTCCCCCTGGGTCCCCCTCTCCCCCCTCGGGTCCTTTCCCCCTTTCCTCCTCATCCTTTCCTCCTTTTTCCCCTCCTCCTCCCCTCAGTCATCCTCCTCAGCCATCCCCCCCTCAGCCATCCCCCAGGCCTTTCCCCTTCCCAGTCCCCCCAGTCCCCTCCTGACCCTCCTCCCCGAGCATCCTCCCAGTTCTCCTTTTCCTCCCCCCAGGTCCCTCCTTCGGGGCCCTCCTCCTCCCCCTTTCCTCCTGGGTTTTTTCCCGGACCCTTTCCCTCCCCCCCCCTCAGTTATCCTCCTCAGTCACCTCCTCAGCCTTCCCCTCAGCCACCCTTTCTCACCCCATCCTCCTCAGTACTCTTCAGTACCCCTTCGGGTCCAAAAAATGTTTGTCCGCAAAGGGTCCCCCAAAATGTCCCTAATGCCCCCCTTTTTCCCCATCCAAGTCCGCCAATGCCCCGTCCTTTTTCCGCCAATGTCCGTCCAAAGTCCGCCAATTTTCCCGTCCGATTTCCGCCAATGTCCGCCCCGATTCCGCCAATGTCCGTCCGTGTCCCCTATGCCCCAAAAAACCCACGCCGTTGTCTCATAAAACCAAAAGGACAGGAAAATAGGCACATAGACGGACATGAACCCCCCCCTAATTTGTAAGCAAAATCATTATTCTTCTCAAGATAGAAAACTTTGCAGAATTCTAAAAACCCCTTTTCAAATGCGGAGGGTTTTTATTCAACACGGAAAAGAATAATCAAAAACTCATCTACGGATACATTTTTGGTGTTAAACCATATCCCAAAGTTACCTTTGGAGTTCTCCCACTACCACAAGGGCCCATTTTTAAAAGACACAAATCGTTTTATTGTCCCAAAAAAGGTTTTAAAAAATCCCCTGGGTTTGTTTTGCTGGTTTCTGAAGACCAAAATGAAAAACAGTAAAAAAATTTGGGTTTTTCAGAAAGTGATGTTTTTGGAGGTTTCCAAAAAAAGTAAGACCACACAAATCAGATAAACAGTAACTCTATTTTTAGAAAGGGTGTTCTACAGTTTAAAACTGTTCCATACTCAACCCAAAGTTACCAGAGGGTTGGCCCCCAACAAACAAAGCTTCTACGCATGAAAACAGAACCCTTCAAATGTCACATAAATTTTATTGCAAATATGCGGAGCTTCCCTGGAGAATTTAAAAGGCACATTAAAAAAAACATTCAAAGACTTTTTTTGAATTGGCACATGTGCTCTATAAAGGATTTATAAAAAAAAAAAACAGAAAGTTCTTCTTTTTTACCCAAATTTTGGGAAAAAACCGAAGAAAACCAATTTTTAAAAGTATTTTTGGGGATTTTTTAACACGTCAAAGTATTAAAATTAAGCGGCACAAAAACACGCATTCACTCTAAAAAATGGACCATAAAATTGAGAGTTTTTGGGAAAAAACATTTATTTTTTAAAAGTTTAAATTTTAAACGAAAAAACACTAAACTCACCCGGGGAGAAAAAACCCTTTTAAATTTTGGGGTTCCTTTTCCATTTAAGGGAGCTTCACAAAAGTGATATTAATACACATAAAAAATAAAAAACACTTTTAAAGAAAAGCCTCACCCTTTTTCAATTTTTTTTCATAACATTTTTCAGCCCTCCGGAATTTAAATCGTCGTCCCAAAAAAATCCATAATGAAAATTTAATTGTTGAAACCATTAGCCGTTGAATTTCTTAAAAGCCTTTCTTAACTTGACATGTTAAAAAAAAATTTCGTTTTTCTGGAAAAAAGTAATTTTTCCCAAACGTCTGAAAACAATTTTGAAACAAACATATATTTAAAATTATACTTTAACAAATTTTTAGCTTTAACCCCAAAAGTATATGAATTTTTAAAAAAGTAAATTATTTACTCCTGTTTTCCTGAAAAAGCGCAAATGTTTTTAAAGTAAACACTTTTCGTATATATTAAAAAATTCCATAAATTTTTTATTTTCAGAAACCCAAATTAATGCAGCATCCCTTTTTCCAAAGGGGGGTCTTGAACTTTTTTCCTTTATACTTTATAAAAACATATACCTGAGTAGTTAACAATAATATCCAAGCGGTCAGGTGATGTCATTTTTTTTAAATTTTAAACCCCTCTCTCCCTCTTCCCCTTTTCTCTTTTGGGAAACAGATCGCCCTTTCAACTCAGAAAAAAGATTTTTAGTTTTTTGATGTGGACAGTACCCGGACCCCTTTTTAAAACCAGGGGCCCCAAATGGGGGGAAACCCGGGAAAAACATAGATCTAGATAAAGATAAAAACCCCTTTAAAAGTTGGGGCTCTGTTTTATATTCAAGTAAAAAGGAATAACCCTTTTTGATCATATGAAACTCATTCAGGTACAAAAACCCTTTAGATGTGATGAAATTGGGGCTAACATTTACTCATAACAGTTAACTTCAGAACATGAAAAAACTTGTGCCAAAAACATATTATTGATATTTCTTCTGATGAGGAGTCTTTAAACCCAAAAATTGTAAGCAAAATTATTGATCCTTCTCAAGATAAAATCATTGCAGGGATCTCAAAAGCCTTTCAAATTTTGGAAGTGTTTTTTTTCACAAGGGTTAAACCAAATCAGTGTGGGCCTTTGGTAGATTCCCTTTGACTACTCACAAGGTTTAAATTTTAAAAGACACAAAACGGGTTTTATTGTCCAAAAAGCAGAATACACTCAGATTGTTTTAAAAATGACCCCTCAAAAAGTTTTCTGCTTCTGAAACAAAGTACCCAGTAAAAAAAACATCTTCAAAAAAAGTGATGTTCTGGGGGTTCATAAAAGTAAAAACCACACAAGGCAGATAAACAGTCCCCTCTAACCCCGAAAGGGTGTTCTACCTTTTTACAGTTTGTCCATACTCATGCCATGTTTTCCCCCGATTAAAAAAACAAAAAAAAAATTTTGCTACTCACGAAGACAAACCCTTCAAATGCAAAAAAAATAAGGGGGGTGCAAATATGCCTGGAGCTTCCTTAAAAATCTTAAAAAAAACATTAAAAACATGCACGACTTTCAAAAATTGCCCCATGTTCTCAAAAAGTGATTAAAAAGCACGGGGAAAAAAAGCTCTTCTTGAAAGCCCACTTTGTGAAAAAACTCTGAAGAAAAAAACCATTTTAAAAAGTACTTAAGTGAAATTTGCCCAAATTTCATAAAAGAAATTTTTGTACAAACCCCAAAAAACGTTTCCCTTTTAAAAAAAAACCATTAAAATGCAAAGCTGTGAAAAAATCCTTCATTTTAAGAACGATTATTAATCCAAAAACACTAGAACTCATACTGGGGACAAGCCCATAAATGTGAACCTGTCCATTTTAAAGCACTCTGAAATTTGAAAATTTTGTACCCCCATAAAAAATACAGACACTCCCAAAGAAAGGCCTTAAACCCGTTCAGTTTTGGGTTTATATGCATTTTAAAAACCAAATCTGAATTAAAACGCCAAGTAAGAAGAAGGCATCCAAAAAAAAAAATTAAAAAATTTTTAAAAAAAGCTTTTGGGGGTTTAATTTTTAACTTTACTTTTCATTTTACATATGGGTTTTACTTTTTTGTGGGGCAAGCTTTGTTGCAATTACATTTATTTACGATACAGAGATTTAACAAAATTTTCCCAAATTTTCCGGGACCATTTTTTTGGTTAAAATTTAAATGGCTTAGTTTTTTTTGTACAAAATAATTTTTTTTTGATTTTGAGTCCCATAAATACTTAGAGGGAAATTTTCCCTTAAAGGGAAAGGGGTTTGTTTTAAAAATGAAAAATACTATAAAAAAAATGATTCAAGAAAAAAATAAAAAGTAATTCAATAAAAAATCCATCCGGTAGTAGATGGTTTTTTAAGTATGGGACCATCAACATTACGGGTAATCCTAAATCGGAAAAACTCGGACATTAAACCCCCCGCCATGAAAAATTTATCTGTATATGTTTTTTGTCCCGGGTCAAACCCCAATTACAACCGGGAACGACCCACAAAACTAAAAAAACCCCTTTCCGATAACGAAGCATCCCTTGGTTTAGTCCCCGAATATGGGGGCTGCACCAGTACGAGCCCTTTAAAATTTTCAAGCGAAAAATTAGAGAGAACAAGGGTTTTTTACCAAAAAAACCCTTTCACTCAAGCTCAAGTTCAGTCACCGCCGCCACAGTACGATGATTTGTACGGGAGCATATCATCAGCCTACAATAATGTTCTTCTTTTCCTACTGAATGATGGATTAAAACTTGCGATGGTGATTCATCTGCGTATAAATTGTCGATGCTATAAGTAGTGAAAATACTACTGTAGTTCCGTGTTTGATTATCAGTACATTATTAAGTGATATTGATGAAGTAAGTTTGAATTGTATTTTACATTTTTAACTAAAGATTAAGAAATTTTGACCGTCAAAAGCACTTTATGGTGTCCACCACTAAAAAAATTCATTTTTGATTTTCAGACATGAAATACATCATTATTTTAATAAAGTCTTTATATTTTGTTTATTTTTGAGAGATAATTTTTACATAGTTTTGTCCCCTAGCTTTTTTAATTTGCTTAATTTGATTGTTATGAATGAAATTAATCGGTTTTATGATTTAAAATTGCTTGATTTATGCTGTTCGATTAAATGTTAATTCTTAAATTTCATTGTTCAAAAGTTAACGAGGTTTAATTTTTTCAAAAGTTGAAAGCACAAATTCACTTCCAGTATTGATGCTATTTATATTGGCTTTATGTTTTAATACCATGCTCTAATCTTGAAACATAATACGAAACACATACGAAAGCGGTAAGCTCTAATCTATCCTAACATATCCTGCAAGTTTCTTACAAGGACCTCTACTAGGATCTGTAATTACTCTAACCCTAACACTCCCATCCTCCACATAGCCTCCTCACACTCCCTCCCGTAGAAATGGAGAACGTGGCACCAGGGACCATGAGGGCAGTCAGCAAGGAGCTGCGGGACCTGAACAAGGATCCTATTGAGGGTGTCACTGTGCTCATGAACGAAGCTGATCTGACTGATATATACCGCACACATTGCTGGTCCAAGTATGTGCTGGATTTATTAATTTGTCAATGTTTTCCGATTAAGCACCTGACACGGCGCGGCAGTTGGCTTAGACAACTTTATCAAGCTCCCCTCTCAGATGTCTCAGTTTAATTAGTATCGCCCCCCCCCCCCCCCCCCCAGTATCGTTCCCCTTCACCTCAGAAACTCATTGTTCATATTGTACAGGTGGTACACCTTACGAGGGCGGCAGTTTCAAAGTGAAACTTGTTCTCAGCAAAGATTTCCCTGCTTCTCCCCCAAGAGGTTTGGATTTAACGATTAAAATATATAATATTTATATTTGGTGGCTGACCCTGGATCTATCGAGTATTTTAGGTCCTTCTCGCTTCGCTGTTGGCATTTGTTTTGATCTTTAGCGATTTCAAAACAAATCTCACCCACACGTATTTAGGTTATTTTCTGACGAAGGTATTCCACCCGAATGTAGCTGATAATGGTGAAATTTGTGTCAATACCTTGAAGAAAGACTGGAAACCTAATCTTGGGATAAAGCACGTGCTTCTGGTAGGTAGATTGTTACTAATTTAGAAGTATAGGTTGTCGGTAATATTTTAGCGCTGTAGACTTTGTAAGACGCGAAGACGTTGGTCTAGAGAATTTTCATTCAAAGCAATTGTTACGCGCGCAAATTGATCGATTTCTTTTTTAAGCGCAACAATATAATAACGGATTTTGAGATTTTAATTTCAATGATTGGCGAAGTAAATAGTTAGGGACAATTAACATTAATACAGGACCATCTGGGGAAAAATTTGCGACAAGCTGATTTTTACAGGAATGTGTTGTCCATAGTGTCAGGAACCACCCCAAAGAGTTTCCAATCTGGATCTGTTGAGCAAAAAAAGTTACAGCCAATTTTCTTCAGGCGCGTATGTCAGCCTGAGGACCGCACTTGAAAAACTCGTAACTATCGTAATAAAGACCCCCAGGAGCACCATAGGGGGTGCAAAATGACCGCAATAGTGACATTGTGTGGGGCGCATCAGTGTTTTAGGGTCGTCAGATCTTTACTTATTGAGATAATTTCATTTTTTATAGGCTAACCTCTCTAAAATTTACTAAAATTTTGAAATTTTACTTAAATTTAGAAATTTAGCAAAATTGTTGTACAATTAAAACATTGTCTAGTTATCAGTATTCAAATTCTAAAATTTACTTTCAATTGTCAATTTATCCTTATATTAGTATAGTAAATAATATACATATCACATCAAATTCTGTAAAAAAAGGTCCTGAATTATTAGCATGGTGTCTTTGATTGGCAACTATTAGGTCACTTCTGGCTATCCCATTTCCTCAGAGTTGTTTGATTCTCCTGAATCGTCCTGTCTTTCGGGTGCATTAGTGCAACTTAATCCATGACATTGGCCACATGCAGGTAGACATTTAAAGCCATACTTCCGGCAGGATTCAGGAACACCTTAAGTACTTACAAGGGTTATCAACCTCCGCCGAGCAATTGCAGCAAATGAGGTTGAGCATCCCTGCCGGGGCAATCGCAGCTTTAGTCGGGATTGGCCGGTAGTATCCTTCAGAACTCATCTCCCATCCATAATGTAGTGGATTTAGACTTGCAGTGTCGAGTGTCACCCAGTTATGGTACTGAAGATATGATCTTAATATAATATGCTCAGTTGCAGAGGATGTAGACGGTGGTAGCCTTGATGGGTTGAGTTTTTTCTTTGCTATCATTCTACTGTAGCTGAGAAATCTGAGAGTTTCAAGTGCCTTGGTTTTATCTCCATAGATATGTTGAAACAAGGAGAGGCCAGCTTCAATTACTTCATTTGTTGAAACTCTCACAGAGAGTAATGATGCTAAATGACCCTCCTCATGAAAAGAAACTGCCTTTTTCAATATCTTCACCTTACCAAAGCCATGTATACTGCTGACCGTGTCACATCCTGAGAAACTGTGAACAAACAGTAATATGCGTTTTATGTTGGCATCAAGAGCATTTACTATTTTACTGATCGAGTGTGAGCCGTTTCTGGCTGTCATCACAATTTCATTGTGATTCTCAGTAAAATGATGAATAAATCTTCGTAGAAGGACAAGTTTAAAGCTTTACTAGCTACCATGGTATCAGCATCATCAGTAGCTACATGTGCTTCAATTCCATGTTCTGTAAAAACGTTCGACAGAAGGTTTATAAGCTCATGCTTGTTCTTTGAGTTGCTGAACAGTTTTTTAATCGGAACTGTGCACACAGTAGTACTTTTTAATAAGCCGATTAATAATTGCCAATGAGTCTATAACAATGTCTTTTTCGTTCACCCTCACTGTCCTCTTTAGAAGGGTCAAGTTTCCGACTTTGCCTTTAACTTGAAACTTATCGATAAAGCTTTTGCCATCCAGCTCTTTCTGGAGGGCAGTACCAACTGAAATGCAATCTTCTGGGTTGACATTATCCTTCTCTTTCTGTGATAGTCTTGTCCTCAGATTCGTTGAAATCAGCTGTATCTTTAAACCAACACAACAGCTTGGTAAACACTGCAATATTTTTCTGTACAGAAGATTTGCTAAGATCTGAGTGATTAGCACTAGAGGCTTTTGTTGTTGTTCTTTTATTGGATAAGTCTGCAATAGCTTCATCGACACTCTCGTTTATCAACGCCATTTGATTGAGGGTTGCAGTCCATAACTTATGGGCAGATTCATGAGTTCGCATTCTCCTTCCAGACAAACCCCCTGATGACTTTGCAGCCTTCATTAGTTGCTGTTCGATGCACACCATACCACTCGTGTTCATTATCTCGAACTGTGTGCAGACCTACGACCTTGAACGTTTTGACTTGTGCCCCATACTGGATCTCAAGTACGGTAATCTGCTCAAGATACAGCCGTAGAGCTTTGGAGTACTGACCTCGACATGCTGCTGCAAAGATAGGCAACATCTTAGCCACAATTGCAAGATGTAGATTGTAGATCGAAGTCATGTAACCGTTCTGCTCTTATAAAATCTTTTATTAAGCAAATGAAACCATGATAAGTTGTCCAAAGAGCAGGTGTGCGGCTGTTCGACGATAACATCTCGAACTTTAGTTTCTTTTCATGAGGAGGGTCATTTAGCATCATTACTCTCTGTGATAGTTTCAACAAATGAAGTAATTGAAGCTGGCCTCTCCTTGTTTCAACATATCTATGGAGATAAAACCAAGGCACTTGAAACTCTCAGATTTCTCAGCTACAGTAGAATGATAGCAAAGAAAAAACTCAACCCATCAAGGCTACCACCGTCTACATCCTCTGCAACTGAGCATATATTAAGATCATATCTTCAGTACCATAACTGGGTGACACTCGACACTGCAAGTCTAAATCCACTACATTATGGATGGGAGATGAGTTCTGAAGGATACTACCGGCCAATCCCGACTAAAGCTGCGATTGCCCCGGCAGGGATGCTCAACCTCATTTGCTGCAATTGCTCGGCGGAGGTTGATAACCCTTGTAAGTACTTAAGGTGTTCCTGAATCCTGCCGGAAGTATGGCTTTAAATGTCTACCTGCATGTGGCCAATGTCATGGATTAAGTTGCACTAATGCACCCGAAAGACAGGACGATTCAGGAGAATCAAACAACTCTGAGGAAATGGGATAGCCAGAAGTGACCTAATAGTTGCCAATCAAAGACACCATGCTAATAATTCAGGACCTTTTTTTACAGAATTTGATGTGATATGTATATTATTTACTATACTAATATAAGGATAAATTGACAATTGAAAGTAAATTTTAGAATTTGAATACTGATAACTAGACAATGTTTTTATTGTACAACAATTTTGCTAAATTTCTAAATTTAAGTAAAATTTCAAAATTTTAGTAAATTTTAGAGAGGTTAGCTTATAAAAATAAAATTATCTCAATAAGTAAAGATCTGACGACCCTAAAACACTGATGCGCCCCACATAATGTCACTATTGCGGTCATTTTGCACCCTCTATGGTGCTCCTGGGGGTCTTTATTACGATAGTTACGAGTTTTTCAAGTGCGGTCCTCAGGCTGACATACGCGCCTGAAGAAAATTGGCTGTAACTTTTTTTGCTCAACAGATCCAGATTGGAAACTCTTTGGGGTGGTTCCTGACACTATGGACAACACATTCCTGTAAAAATCAGCTTGTCGCAAATTTTTTCCCAGACATTTTGCATTATTCCCTAACTAAAAGGCGGAGGCTCTCAATAATTAATTTTTTTTTTCAGACAATACGTTGTTTACTCATATACCCAAATCCTGAATCTGCTCTGAATGAAGAAGCAGGAAGGTTACTCCTAGAAGCCTACGAGCAATTCGCATCAAGGTATAACTACAAATTTATTATTTTATAGGTATACCAATAGATTCGCATCTTCTTCTTAAGAGTATTTTCTCATATTTTCTGAAGATTTTCTTCTTATCTCTGATTATATACATTCTTGAATCAAAAGCAAAGTCATGGTTCTGTTATTACAGATTGTAGCATAGCGTTAGTGCCAATCTACTGCCCAGTTATTGCAGTAGTGGTATGTAACGTCACGTATTCGTACCCACATTGCAAATATTCACAGGGCGAAAATGATGACGGAAGTTCATGCCAAACCCATCAATAAAGTTTCTGATAAATCAATCCCCGCCACAGCCTCTTCGCAAAAAATGGCAGCAAAGAAAAAGGCAAAGGGCCTCCGTCGACTTTAGGAGGCAGGCTACTGGTCCAATTCAGAGTTACTCATAAGTCATATTGCCGCTTTACACCGTTCAATTATAATTGTATTTGTATGTTAAGTTGTTATTATAATGTTAGGTTTCAATATGTATTTGCTTTTTACATTGCTGGTTAAGATTTTTATTGAATGTTTTTCTGACGACCTTTTTCGTAAAGTTTTGAAGATAATAGATGTTTCATGTTTGACAGTGTTTAAAAGGCAAGCCTTGACATCCATTTTTTGCCAAAGACAACATACTTGTAAGATTTATACTAGTCCAGATTTGTAAATATTCTTTTCGTATTTACCCAAATTCTGTATCCATTGCAATGCTTATATATTATAGGATAAAATCTTGCAACGATTTCTTCTTCTGTGCTCAGAGTATGTTTGAATTTCGAGATTGTGACTTATTGCTCAATTCAAATTTTCTTAGCTGTTCCTCAAAACAGATATATATCTCAAATTATTTGGCGATTTCGCAACTTAAAAGTTAGAACAAGTCTATAACTGTGCATTATTAGATTGTAATTAATCAGATTTACCTAGGCATGAGTAATATCTACAATCTCGAGCCAGTAACGAAAGGGAAAGTCTTGTTGACAACAACTCACGGGGATATAGAGATAGAGCTCTGGGCTCGAGAGGTCTGTATAAATGACATATTTATATTTTAGTGTGACAAATTATTTGTTGAACTATCGGTAACAGCTGATCTATCATCTATTCAATATTTGCAGACATTTGTAAATTAGGCAGCGATTCAGCATTGTTCTCAATTTGAGACACTCCTGTCATTAAATCATCTACCAGACAAATATTTCATTCCTTCTCCAGGCACCGAAGGCATGTAGGAACTTCGTTCAGTTGTGCTTAGAATGTTATTATGACGATACGATATTTCATCGGCTAGTAAAAGGATTCTGTATACAAGGTTAGTTAAACTGAATCTTTACGACGATTAATAATCCAAATCCCTCTACTAGCCTGGGCTGAAAAAGGACGTTTCATTAGCTGAGAAACAAACTGCCTTTTGATCTGTAATAGCCGATGTCAATTATATTTCTGATGAATTTTGTAAAATTGACACTCGTAGCTATTTTGAATTAGCACAAAGGTTTAATTACAAGACGTGGACGTCCACATGAAATATATATGTTCTACACACAGCAGCATGTAGATTTATGATGTGTCACATATAATATCTGCTGTTTTGTTTCGTGTTCTCGATTTTACAACCGGAGTATCTTTAGCGGTGTTTGATAAACGTTCATCTATACTCATCGTTATCTCGTGACAAATTAACCATCTTGAATCCTGATTAGTTCAATCATACACTCGAGTGAGGTAGAAAACTGTCTTATTTAGAATACTCTTTGGTGGTATTTGCTCCTATTTTAGGACAGTAAGCACCCACTTGAAAGTAATACGATTTGTTAATCAGATTTGTACCCTAAAACTCTTTCCATTTTCCAGGAGGTGATCCCACAGGTACTGGAACGGGGGGAGATTCTATTTACGGAGAAGATTTCGCAGATGAGTTCCACCAGCGTCTTAAGTTCAACAGAAGAGGTCTGCTGGCCACGGCTAACAAAGGGGAGCCCAACTCAAATGGCTCGCAGTTCTTCTTCACTCTTGGGGAAGCACCGGAGTTGCAGAAGAAACACACGATCTTTGGGAAGGTTCGCAGCTCGGGGAAGTTTCCCTAACTTTTAACGTTCATGTGACTTCGTCATATCATTTAAATATTTGGCCGTTCTCACGTTAGATGAACAATGACACTATTCAGTTAGACAAATATCCGGTGGGTAAACCATTACCAATGATCTTAAAATTTATTCCGCTTTTAGTTTTATTCCCACTCTCGATTCCTTGCTAGCAGTCCGGTTAATTTAGTACCTTTAGTGGGTCTCATTTAATCATTAGCTCTAATTAAAGAACCTCTCACCCTCTCAGATTTTCACCGCTCCGTTCATTTGTATAGCTTTATTATTTTTATCTTTTTACTACACTTACTAACACGTGCACATTACAAAGGAGCAATAGTTTGCGGAGGCATTCTAGAACGGTATATATTTTAGCTTTCAGTTTCTGTTTCATTATCTTAAAATTTATTCCGCTTTTAGTTTTATTCCCACTCTCGATTCCTTGCTAGCAGTCCGGTTAATTTAGTACCTTTAGTGGGTCTCATTTAATCATTAGCTCTAATTAAAGAACCTCTCACCCTCTCAGATTTTCACCGCTCCGTTCATTTGTATAGCTTTATTATTTTTATCTTTTTACTACACTTACTAACACGTGCACATTACAAAGAAGCAATAGTTTGCGGAGGCATTCTAGAACGGTATATATTTTAGCTTTCAGTTTCTGTTTCATTATCTTAAAATTTATTCCGCTTTTAGTTTTATTCCCACTCTCGATTCCTTGCTAGCAGTCCGGTTAATTTAGTACCTTTAGTGGGTCTCATTTAATCATTAGCTCTAATTAAAGAACCTCTCACCCTCTCAGATTTTCACCGCTCCGTTCATTTGTATAGCTTTATTATTTTTATCTTTTTACTACACTTACTAACACGTGCACATTACAAAGAAGCAATAGTTTGCGGAGGCATTCTAGAACGGTATATATTTTAGCTTTCAGTTTCTGTTTCATTATCTTAAAATTTATTCCGCTTTTAGTTTTATTCCCACTCTCGATTCCTTGCTAGCAGTCCGGTTAATTTAGTACCTTTAGTGGGTCTCATTTAATCATTAGCTCTAATTAAAGAACCTCTCACCCTCTCAGATTTTCACCGCTCCGTTCATTTGTATAGCTTTATTATTTTTATCTTTTTACTACACTTACTAACACGTGCACATTACAAAGAAGCAATAGTTTGCGGAGGCATTCTAGAACGGTATATATTTTAGCTTTCAGTTTCTGTTTCATTATCTTAAAATTTATTCCGCTTTTAGTTTTATTCCCACTCTCGATTCCTTGCTAGCAGTCCGGTTAATTTAGTACCTTTAGTGGGTCTCATTTAATCATTAGCTCTAATTAAAGAACCTCTCACCCTCTCAGATTTTCACCGCTCCGTTCATTTGTATAGCTTTATTATTTTTATCTTTTTACTACACTTACTAACACGTGCACATTACAAAGAAGCAATAGTTTGCGGAGGCATTCTAGAACGGTATATATTTTAGCTTTCAGTTTCTGTTTCATTATCTTAAAATTTATTCCGCTTTTAGTTTTATTCCCACTCTCGATTCCTTGCTAGCAGTCCGGTTAATTTAGTACCTTTAGTGGGTCTCATTTAATCATTAGCTCTAATTAAAGAACCTCTCACCCTCTCAGATTTTCACCGCTCCGTTCATTTGTATAGCTTTATTATTTTTATCTTTTTACTACACTTACTAACACGTGCACATTACAAAGGAGCAATAGTTTGCGGAGGCATTCTAGAACGGTATATATTTTAGCTTTCAGTTTCTGTTTCATTATCTTAAAATTTATTCCGCTTTTAGTTTTATTCCCACTCTCGATTCCTTGCTAGCAGTCCGGTTAATTTAGTACCTTTAGTGGGTCTCATTTAATCATTAGCTCTAATTAAAGAACCTCTCACCCTCTCAGATTTTCACCGCTCCGTTCATTTGTATAGCTTTATTATTTTTATCTTTTTACTACACTTACTAACACGTGCACATTACAAAGGAGCAATAGTTTGCGGAGGCATTCTAGAACGGTATATATTTTAGCTTTCAGTTTCTGTTTCATTATCTTAAAATTTATTCCGCTTTTAGTTTTATTCCCACTCTCGATTCCTTGCTAGCAGTCCGGTTAATTTAGTACCTTTAGTGGGTCTCATTTAATCATTAGCTCTAATTAAAGAACCTCTCACCCTCTCAGATTTTCACCGCTCCGTTCATTTGTATAGCTTTATTATTTTTATCTTTTACTACACTTACTAACACGTGCACATTACAAAGGAGCAATAGTTTGCGGAGGCATTCTAGAACGGTATATATTTTAGCTTTCAGTTTCTGTTTCATTATCTTAAAATTTATTCCGCTTTTAGTTTTATTCCCACTCTCGATTCCTTGCTAGCAGTCCGGTTAATTTAGTACCTTTAGTGGGTCTCATTTAATCATTAGCTCTAATTAAAGAACCTCTCACCCTCTCAGATTTTCACCGCTCCGTTCATTTGTATAGCTTTATTATTTTTATCTTTTTACTACACTTACTAACACGTGCACATTACAAAGGAGCAATAGTTTGCGGAGGCATTCTAGAACGGTATATATTTTAGCTTTCAGTTTCTGTTTCATTATCTTAAAATTTATTCCGCTTTTAGTTTTATTCCCACTCTCGATTCCTTGCTAGCAGTCCGGTTAATTTAGTACCTTTAGTGGGTCTCATTTAATCATTAGCTCTAATTAAAGAACCTCTCACCCTCTCAGATTTTCACCGCTCCGTTCATTTGTATAGCTTTATTATTTTTATCTTTTTACTACACTTACTAACACGTGCACATTACAAAGAAGCAATAGTTTGCGGAGGCATTCTAGAACGGTATATATTTTAGCTTTCAGTTTCTGTTTCATTATCTTAAAATTTATTCCGCTTTTAGTTTTATTCCCACTCTCGATTCCTTGCTAGCAGTCCGGTTAATTTAGTACCTTTAGTGGGTCTCATTTAATCATTAGCTCTAATTAAAGAACCTCTCACCCTCTCAGATTTTCACCGCTCCGTTCATTTGTATAGCTTTATTATTTTTATCTTTTTACTACACTTACTAACACGTGCACATTACAAAGGAGCAATAGTTTGCGGAGGCATTCTAGAACGGTATATATTTTAGCTTTCAGTTTCTGTTTCATTATCTTAAAATTTATTCCGCTTTTAGTTTTATTCCCACTCTCGATTCCTTGCTAGCAGTCCGGTTAATTTAGTACCTTTAGTGGGTCTCATTTAATCATTAGCTCTAATTAAAGAACCTCTCACCCTCTCAGATTTTCACCGCTCCGTTCATTTGTATAGCTTTATTATTTTTATCTTTTTACTACACTTACTAACACGTGCACATTACAAAGGAGCAATAGTTTGCGGAGGCATTCTAGAACGGTATATATTTTAGCTTTCAGTTTCTGTTTCATTATCTTAAAATTTATTCCGCTTTTAGTTTTATTCCCACTCTCGATTCCTTGCTAGCAGTCCGGTTAATTTAGTACCTTTAGTGGGTCTCATTTAATCATTAGCTCTAATTAAAGAACCTCTCACCCTCTCAGATTTTCACCGCTCCGTTCATTTGTATAGCTTTATTATTTTTATCTTTTTACTACACTTACTAACACGTGCACATTACAAAGGAGCAATAGTTTGCGGAGGCATTCTAGAACGGTATATATTTTAGCTTTCAGTTTCTGTTTCATTATCTTAAAATTTATTCCGCTTTTAGTTTTATTCCCACTCTCGATTCCTTGCTAGCAGTCCGGTTAATTTAGTACCTTTAGTGGGTCTCATTTAATCATTAGCTCTAATTAAAGAACCTCTCACCCTCTCAGATTTTCACCGCTCCGTTCATTTGTATAGCTTTATTATTTTTATCTTTTACTACACTTACTAACACGTGCACATTACAAAGGAGCAATAGTTTGCGGAGGCATTCTAGAACGGTATATATTTTAGCTTTCAGTTTCTGTTTCATTATCTTAAAATTTATTCCGCTTTTAGTTTTATTCCCACTCTCGATTCCTTGCTAGCAGTCCGGTTAATTTAGTACCTTTAGTGGGTCTCATTTAATCATTAGCTCTAATTAAAGAACCTCTCACCCTCTCAGATTTTCACCGCTCCGTTCATTTGTATAGCTTTATTATTTTTATCTTTTACTACACTTACTAACACGTGCACATTACAAAGGAGCAATAGTTTGCGGAGGCATTCTAGAACGGTATATATTTTAGCTTTCAGTTTCTGTTTCATTATCTTAAAATTTATTCCGCTTTTAGTTTTATTCCCACTCTCGATTCCTTGCTAGCAGTCCGGTTAATTTAGTACCTTTAGTGGGTCTCATTTAATCATTAGCTCTAATTAAAGAACCTCTCACCCTCTCAGATTTTCACCGCTCCGTTCATTTGTATAGCTTTATTATTTTTATCTTTTTACTACACTTACTAACACGTGCACATTACAAAGGAGCAATAGTTTGCGGAGGCATTCTAGAACGGTATATATTTTAGCTTTCAGTTTCTGTTTCATTATCTTAAAATTTATTCCGCTTTTAGTTTTATTCCCACTCTCGATTCCTTGCTAGCAGTCCGGTTAATTTAGTACCTTTAGTGGGTCTCATTTAATCATTAGCTCTAATTAAAGAACCTCTCACCCTCTCAGATTTTCACCGCTCCGTTCATTTGTATAGCTTTATTATTTTTATCTTTTTACTACACTTACTAACACGTGCACATTACAAAGGAGCAATAGTTTGCGGAGGCATTCTAGAACGGTATATATTTTAGCTTTCAGTTTCTGTTTCATTATCTTAAAATTTATTCCGCTTTTAGTTTTATTCCCACTCTCGATTCCTTGCTAGCAGTCCGGTTAATTTAGTACCTTTAGTGGGTCTCATTTAATCATTAGCTCTAATTAAAGAACCTCTCACCCTCTCAGATTTTCACCGCTCCGTTCATTTGTATAGCTTTATTAT